AGAGCAGTCAGTGCTCTTAACCACTGAGCCATCTCTCCAGCCCCGGATTTTGTTTCTTAATCCATTCCACTAGTCTGTGTCTTCTGACTAGGGAATCCAGTCCATTGAAAATTAAGGTTATTATTGAAAGGTGTATATTGGTTTCTGTCATTTTGATTGCTGTTTGTGTTCTCTGTCTAATTTTGTGTTTCCTTTATTATATCTTTATTTTCTTTCATTGCCCCTGGGGTATAGTTGTTTCTCTCTCTGCTCTCTGTATTGCTTTAAGTATTTGTTGATGGGCTGGTTTTGTGGACATGATTCTTTCAGGCTATTCATGTCATAGAAGGTTTTTCTTCCCCCCTCAACTATAATAGACATTTTTGCTGGGTAAAGTATTCTGGGCTGGCATCTATTGTCATGTAGACCTGGAAATACCTTGGTCCAGCTCTTCTGGCTTTCATAGTTTGCATTGATGTCAGCTGTAATTCTGATGGGCTCTCCTTTGTAGGTGACTTGTTATTTTTCTTTTGCTGCTTTCAGTGTTCTCTCTTTGTTCTGTACATTTAGTGTTTTTACTATGATATGTTGTGAGGAGTTTCTTTTCTGATCCTGTCTATTTGGTGTTCTCTGTGCTTCCTGTATTTGAATGTGGATGCCTTTCCTTAATTTCAGGAAATTCTCTTCTACAATACTGTTTAAGATCTGGTCAACACCATTAACCTGAAATTCTTCTCTTCTCTATTCCTATGATCCATAGATTTGGGCTTTTCATGGTGTCCCAAAGCTCTAGCATTTTCCATTCCTGTGTTTTTTGTTTGTTTTTTTTTAAATTTTCCATAATCTTTTCTTGAGTCTTCCAATTCTTCAACTTTATCCTCCAGTGTTGATATTCTGTTTTCCATTTCATTCAATGGTGAGGCTCTCCCCTGTTGTTTTAAGTTGGCTTATTGAGTTTTGTGCTTCCTTCTTCATTTCTGAGTTTTCTTCAATGTTTCGCTCTCTTTTGTGAATTCATTCAGAAGTTTATCCCTATCTTCTTTTAGCTCTTTGATTTGTTTGTTTGTGTGTTCTTTAAATTCACTGAATTCCTCGATAGTGTTTATGATTGTTCTTTTAAATTCAGTGTCCTGGGTTATCTCTAGGGGGTTCTCCTTGTAGAACTCTTCTACAGGATTGGTGGTGGTGGTGGGGACATAGTGTTTTGGTTTTCCATTGTATTATTCTTTTGTCGTGATTTTGGCATGTGAATTTTTGTTGTTTATGATTCTGATATGAGAATTAAATTGAAATATGCTTCTGTTTGTATTATTGGTGTGCCTAGTTCCTTTATTGGTTATTTAAAGCTGGTTGGTACAAGATTCAGGTTCTCTCAGATTTAATTTGGAGGGATTTAATGGCTTCAGATCAGCTATTCAGGTTACCCACAGGAACCTAATTCAGGTTCCAGTCAGGTACACTCAGGCTTCCTTCACCACGTGGAGGCCAGATCTGGGTGCTCTCAGGAATCCCCTATGTTCTCAGCCCTTATGCCAGAGGGAGGCCAGAACTCAGCCCTCTCTTGTGGTCTACTGAGATCAGAGCCGCTACACCAGTGGAGGTTGGAACCCACCCTTTCAGGCTGTCTGCTAGGATCTCAGCCTTAGCTTCTCAGAGCCAGATCTGCCCTGGGGCATGGCGCACTTAGGGGAAGCTCACCACCACATGGAGGCAGGATCTGGGCTGTCTCAGGCAGCCCCCTGCATTCTCAGGCCCTCTGCCAGAGGGAGGCCATAGGGAGGCCAGAACTTGGCACTCTCTGGTGGTCTGCTGAGATCAGAACCACTACACATGGAGGTTAGAACCCACCCTCTCAGGCTGTCTCAGTCTATTTCTATTGCAGTCAATGTAAGGCAAAGATACTTGGTGATCTCTAATCTTTGTTCACATGACACTGAAAAATCCGTAAGACCAAATATAACATTTCCACAAATAAAGTTCATTTTTGTATTTGTTGCTTTTCTGTTGCTTTGATAAAAATTCCCTAACCAAGGCAATTTATAGAAGATTTTATTGGGCTTGCAGTTCCAGAAGGATGAGAGTCCACCATGGAGGGGAGTTGTGGCACAAGGTAGCTAGAGCAGAAAGCTGCGCGCTCACATCATCAGGCAGGTACGGGAAGCAGAGAGGGAATCAGAAATGGAGAGTGGCTATAAACTCTCAAGTCCACCCTCAGTGATGTGCTTTCTCCAGCAAGGCCTCACTTCCTAGGGAGTCCATGACCTTCCCCAAACAGTGCCACCAACTGATCAAGTGTTCAAACACTTGAGACTGTGGTGGGCACTTCATTCAAACCACCACAATTCTAACGTTGGATTTCTTACAGAGGCAGGTCAAGTGTTTTATTTTCTATAGTATATCATTTGGGAAAAACTTCAGTCTATTCCCTTTATCTTTATTTTTAAATTTTTATTTATTCTTTGGTAATTTCATACATGAATGCAATGTATTTAGATCCTATCCCTCCCTTTTTTACTTCCCTCCCCAAACTTCCAACTTTTCCTAGATACTCCCTCCCTTTTTTACTTCCCTCCCCAAACTTCCAACTTTTCCTAGATACTCCCTCCCCCACAACCTCCTCCCAACTTCATGTCTTCTGCTTTTACGTTTTTTTTTTTCTCTAAATAAACCACTGAGCACAATCACTGCTACCCATAGGCATGTGGGCATAGAAGCATCCAGTGGAGCACACGCAACCTACCACAGGCCATGTCTGAAGAAAATGGACTCTTCTTACCTAGTTGCCAGCAGCTTCCAACAGCTTCTCAGCTAGGGGTAGGGCCTCATGATCTGCTTCCCTCCCCATGAGAGCAACCATTCCCTTTAAATATATAGTTCTTTCTCTAAATTTTAAACTAGTTACTTCCCCCTGAAATCTCTATCTCATTCTCCCTGTGCAATTTCCCTAACTACCACTCTTCCCTCTCCCTTTCTCCTCTTCTTCCTCTTTATCCTCCTCCTCATTCTTTCTCTTCTCCCTCTTCTTCCTCTTCCTCTTCCTTTTCCTACTCTCTTCTTCCTCCTCTTCCTCCTCCTTCTTTTCTTCTTCCTCACCCTCTTCTTCCTTTTTCCTTTTCCTCCACCTCCTTCCCCTTCTCCTCTTCCCCTTTCTCTCTCCCCCTCCTCCCCTCGTTATCTTTTAATACAGCATCTCCCTGTAGCTCCAGCTGGCCTGGAACTTGGTGACCTCGGTTTCACAGATCTGCCTGTCTCTGCCTCCCAAGTTCTGGAACTAATGTTGTGCATCAAGCCTGTCACTCTTCTTTTTGGTTTTCTTTTTTAGATCTAGCTCCTACAAAATGTTCTTTCTTGAGTCAAAAACTGTTCTCTGGAGTACTACCAGGGAAGGAGAAGGAGATCAGGGGGAGGGAGAGGGGAGGGAAAGCATGGGGGTGAGCGTGACCCAGAGTGGCCTGTGAATATATAGCAATGTCGCAATGAAACCCAATACTTTGTACAATTAATACGTACTACTAATAAAAGAAAATGCACCATGTATAGGAATGTCAACAAAATTTTCTGTTGAATTTGTACATTACCTGGTGAGGACAATTTATCCTTGCTCTCTGTGTCCCCAGTGACTGTAGGAGACACCATAGCTGCCCTTGGCCAGAGCCAGTTGGGTAGTGTCTAGGGGTCTGAGGGGCTAGGTTCTGATGTGAGCTTGTAATCCTCAGAAGGCTTTCTTCCTAACCTGCTCACTGATGCTGCCCTGTCCTCCAGGCCCATCTCACCCACTTAATAATGACTTAGTAAGATCCTTCTAAAACACACAGAGGACCCTGTCCTATTCCTGTTCACAATCTGCCTGGCTCCTCCATAGCCCTCTAGCCCTGTGTGGCCTGAGATGGCCTTGGGGCTCTGACCAGCTCTGCCTGTCCAGAGGAGTTATCCCCTCAGACAGGAGAATCATGATCAAGTCCTGGGTGAGAGTTAAGGTCACGAAGTCCAAAGTGAAGCTTGTGGAGAAATGAGCTTTCTGTTCTCATTTCTGATGCTAGGAAAAATACTCTGATGAAAAACAACAGTGCAGAGGGGTTTATTCCAGGTTACAATTCCAGGTTGCAGTCCATCCTTATGGGGACATCAAGGCAGGAACTTCCAACAGCTAGTCATATCATACCCACTATGAAGAAGAGGAGAATGAGTGCACACACATTCAGCACCTGCTTGCTTACACCCAATCAATTTCTCCACTCTTAAACAGTTCAGGATTCCTTGATCAGGGAATAGTGCTGACCATAGTGGGCTGGGTCATCCCACATCAATTAACTTACTTAAGACTATCCCCACATACATGGCCACAAGTCAACTCAATATGGTCAGTCTCTTATTGAGACTATCTTCCTAGGTGTGGTGGTTTGAATGAAAATGTTCCCCATAGGCTCTAAGTATTTGGATATTTTGTCCCCAGATGATGACACTGTTTTGGGAGGTCTTAGAAGGTGTGGCTATCCTGGAGGAAGCACATCACTGGGGGTGGGCTTAGAGAGTTCTTAAGCCTTGCCAGATCTCCAGTTGCTCTCATTTCCTGTGTCTGCATGACGATGTGAGAGCTTAGCTTCTGCTGCTCCTTCTCCAGCCACCTCTGCACCATGCCTCCATGCCAAGATGCACTGTAATTCCCCTGGAACTGTAAGCTCAAATAAACTCTTACTTTTATAAATTGCTTTGGTCAGTGTTTCTATCATAGCAACAGCAAAGTGACTGATACAGTAACTGGTACCAGAAGTGAGCTGTTGAGTGTGAAGAACCTGATCATGTGGGGTTTTAGAAGAATGTGGAAGACTTTGGAAGTTTGGGCTAGAAAAGCAGTTGATTACTTTAAGCGGAGCTTAACAGGTCATTCTAGTAAACCTCTGGAAGAAAGTAGTGCTGAGAACAATGTAGTCCCAGAGGGAAATAAGGACTTAAGCAGCAATTGGGATATTTTGGTAAAGAATCTGGCTGGAGTCTGCCCACAGCCAAAAAGCTTGCCTGAGGCTAAGTTGAAAAGCCATGGACTAATTTCTCTGGAGGAAGAAATTTCAAGAAATCATAATGTAGAAATGGTGGCATGGCTATTGATGGTGAATATTATTCAGATTTACGGTGAAAAAGAGCAAATGGGCAGAAAGAGATACAGAATGTACAGGATGGATTGAAAAAGAGCACTAGGAAGATTAATGTTGGAGCCCTGGCACATGATGGAGAGGATCCCATTGATAAGGAGATTAAAGTGATTAAGGAGGGGCCTAGAGATTTGGATTTCAACAATGGAGAGAGTGCCTCCAGGGCAAGACCACACCCAGTTAAGCCTCCAACTTGTGAAAGCAAAATGCTACAAGGACCACTGAAGAGAAAAGCTTCTAAGATGGATAAAGCAGGCTGGAGTCCATCCCAAACTTGCAGTAGAACTTGGCAGTGTCATTCACCTGGTGCTGGCTTTAGAGGCATGAAAGATGCAAGAGTGAAGGGGTCATCAATTCTTCCTTGTGGTTTCAGAGAACTGCAGAGGCCAGACAGCCTGCAGCAGGGGTTTCCCTGCATAGAGAAGGCACTGCTGGGCCATTGTGTGAGTCTGTGAGGTGAAACCTGGTTGGCAATGGAGACCCCAAGAAGATGTTCGTGATGCTAGAGCTGTGAGGCATCTGCCAAGAAGACCTGCATACGGGGAGTGGTACCTGCACAAGAGAGAGACGTATGTTGCATGCAGCAAAGCTAGAGAAGCTGAGCCATCTAAGCCCTTTGGAAGTAAAGTCCCAGAAGTTGGATGTGGAGCTACTGGAAATGGTCTTTGCCCTGCTGGTTTTCAGTCTTGTTTTGGTCCAGTATTCTCTTACTATGCCTCCATTCCTACCTTTTGGAATGGTAATGTGTATTCAGTTCCACTGTATGATGGGAGTATGTAATTTGTCTTTTGATTTTATAAAGGCTTACTGTTAAGATATTTACCTTAGTCTCAGAAGAGGCTTTGGACTGTGGACTTTTGAATAGTATTGAGATTGATAATAACTGTGGGGACTTTTAAAGTTGGACTAAATTCATTTCATATGGTTATGAGCCTATGGGGGCCAGGGGTTGGAATGTGGTGGTTTGAATGAAAATGTCCCTCCATAGGCTCCAAGTATTTGGACATTTTGTCCCTAGATGATGGCACTGTTTTGGGAGGTCTTAGAAGGTGTGGCTATCCTGGAGGAAGCATGTCACTAGGAGTGGGCTTAGAGAGTTTTAAGCCTTGCTAGATCTCCAGTTGCTCTCTTGTTTCCTGTGCCTGCTGGAAGATGTAGAGTTTCTGCTCCTCCTCCAGACACCTCTGCCACCATACCTCCCCACCAAGACAGACTGTAATTCTCCTGGACCTGTAAGCTCAAATAAACTCTTCCTTCTATAAATTGCTTTGGTCAGTGTTTTTATCACAACAACAGAAAAGTGACCAATACACTACGTGATCAAGTTGACAGTTTAACCATCATTCCGTGTTCTCTCACAGATCCAGCTGTAACTGTGAATGTCAGAGCCAAGGCCCCTCAATAAGCACCCCCGACAGCAAAATAAAATTAAAATACATGTTAGCATTTTCTACGTGATGAGTATTTAACCTATACCGTCACAATTTGGAACCAAAATGTTCCTCACAGACTTTTATTTTTTTAATGCTGTTTCCCAGTTGGTTGTGTCATTTGGGGACCACTGAGACCTTCAGGAAGTGAGGCCTACCTAGTTGAAGCAGGTCACTGGGGGTGGGGGGCTTTGAAGATTATATTCGGCTCCTGGGCTCTCTCATTCCTTGTCTGTTGGCAGTGCTCTGAACAACCCCCTCTGTATGGTTCCACCACATGGACAGAGCTGCACAACCATGCTGCTCCTGCCATGGGAACCAAACCTCTGAAACCACAGGACGAAATAAATATTTCCTTTCAAGTTGTTTCTGTCAAGAGATTTTCGGTGACAGTGACGTAAAAGCAATACATGTATGTATTCACACATGTGTTATGATATGCATATGGGTAGGCAAGATGGCTCTGCAAGTAAAGGGGCCTACCACCAAGTCTGAGGACTTGAGTTTGATCCCTGGGACCCACATATTGGGTCCAATCCCTGAAAGTTGTTTTCTGACCTCCATACACATGCTGTTACACATGTGTTACACATGCGCGCACACTCACCCACCCACACACAAATAAAAGTAGTAAAAATTTTTTTAAAATTTACTTTTATTATTTATGTGTATATGTCTGTGTGTGGGTATGTGAATGGAAGTGTGGGTGTCCATGGAGGGCAGGAGTTGGATCCCCTGGAGCTGGAGTTACAGGCTGCTGTGTGCTGCCCAGTGTGAGCACTGAGAACTGAAGTCAAGTCTTCTGCAAGAGCAACACATATGTTTAACTACTAAGCCATCTTTCCAGCCCCATAACAATTTTTTAAGTGACATATAAAAGAAAAATATCCCCCTGGGAAGGATGGACTGGTTCTGTATGTCACCAACGTTTTCTCTCCTGTGGGGACCATCCAACTAAACATTGTAAGAGGTTTCTCATGTTGCTCCCCTATTTTTCTTTGATTTTGCGACTGAGGTGAGAAAAGGTTATTAGTGTATTGACACAGACACTGAGTTCTGGAAGTTGGAGCCAGACAGCAGAGGTAGGAGAGAAAGACATGAGTTGGAGGCAAAGTGTGAAAAAGAATCAGCTACTAATAGATAAAGGAAATAAGGTGGGAGTAATCCAGGGTGACTTCACATGCCTAGCTCATTGCGTACACATTTCTGAACCTCTAAGAACCCTTTGTAAGATGTTAAACAGAGCAAGGAAGGGATGGTCCAGTGACTGTGGTATGGAAAACAAAGGCCCTGTGGGAATTCACAGTCAAAATCTGTTTCATCCCATTGTCCTGGAAAAGTAGGCTTTGAACCACATCCTTTTAAATTAAAACTTTTTATTACATGTGTATATTTATTTATTGTTTCTTTCTCTCTCTCTCTCTCTCCTCTCTCTCTCTCTCTCTCTCTCTCTCTCTCTCTCTCTCTGTATGACACAGTGCATGTCTGGAAGTCAGTGGACAATTTGCAGTAGTTGGCTCTCTCCATCCACTTTAAGGGTCTTGGAGATTAAGAACTCGGGTTGCCAGGCATAGTAACAAGTGCCTTTACCCACAGAGCCATCTCTGTGGCCCAGAATTACATCTTGAGCAATACAGAATCTAACAAACATAATGAGTTGGCTACTCCAGGAGTGATGGAGGATGCATTAGGGAAAGATCTTTAAACTCAGAGGGCCATAATGTTTGGGAAGAGATAAGACTAGAGGTTTCTGAAAAGCCTCCTGGGGTAACTGAATCTCAGTTGAAGGGCATGTGCAGAGCTCCAGCAGGCGAGGTTCTTCCACTCTCTCAGGGTTCCAAGCATTCAGTATGTGCAGGGAATGTTGTCCTCTCTAGGTACCTTTGGAGGTGATGGATGACTAGAAGTTTGTTTTCAAGAATAGCAGAAGACTTTGGGGGACAGGACCCCAATCAGACCCTTTCCTTTCCATTCCTGGCATGTCTTTTGTCTGAGGCTGATTTTCCAGGGAACATCTTCCCACCCTCCTCATTTCCAGATCCTCCTTTTGATCCATCTCTGGTGAGCAGTTTGTTGATACTCATCTCCAGGCCCTGCTTAAGCTCTTT